TAATCCTGCTAGCGCTAGCAACCGTCAACCCAGTATGAGGCCTGTGGGGCAAAGTCCAAGGGAAATCCACAAGCAGACGTTGGAACCTACTGCTTGATGCCTTATTTATATGGCACACTGTCAGTGGGGGTGGCAGAGGTGGCATCTGCCCAGGGCAACTGCCCGAGCTTTAACTTCAAATGGGCTATCCAGGTAGAAGCTTGAAACATCCTGGCTTTAAGGCAGGATGAACGATTACCCCTGCTATTGGCTGGGATTTGGGATGGCTGCCCTCTTGGAGGTCAGAAGACCTGCTAGTGGTTGGGCCAGGGTAATCACCATCACCAGGGAGTAGCCATACCTATCTCCAGCCGACTTCAACTTTCGGTAGTTTATTCGGTTGATGAGCATATATTGGCATTGATACTGAAGGATGCTTTTGGCTTTGTTACATTTATTCGTACACTCCTACCGATGTCTGCAACCTCAATGAGAAAGAGAAGTTCTACGCCGAATTCACATCTGTGGCAGACAAATGCCCCTGGCGAGACATTCACATTGTACTGGGAAACTTCAATGCGGTATCTAACAGTGATCAAGCTGGTTACAAGATGTTTGTCCGATCCCATGGCTCGGGAGCTGATCTCAGTGTTGAAAGCCTCTTCTTCCAAGAATTTGGTAGGTTCCAGAGATTAAGGATTTCTGCCTCCTGGTATCAGCGCTCCAACCTGCGCCACTAAACTTGGTATAATGATACGAATACTGTGGCCAAGGAGATCAACCACATCCTTATTAGCACTCCAAAACTGCAGGGTTTACCGGGGTGCCGAGTTCTGTAATGTTGACCATAGATTGGTTGTGGCAATTCTAGGGTCTACTTCAAAACTGTCTCTGCGGTGGCCACTCTAGAGTGTTCCACTTGGACAGATTGAAGGAGAAGGTGTACATAGGGGTTCACCACAGCAGTCTCTGGTCGGTTCACAATAATCGAAAACTTAACTGACCCTGTAGCTCTTTGGGACTCCTTTAAGTGTGAAACAATTTATGCAGCACAGGAGTCCAATGGTGAATTCACAAGAACAAGGTAAAATTCCATCTCACTGGAGACACTGGAGGGGACTTGCACCGTTCCTTGGTGCTTAGGGCTCAGGCACTGCTGAGAAGGGATAAGGAACAGTTCATCAGGAATCTTGCTGAGGAGGTTGAAGGCCATTTCTTTTAGTAACCGTCCTTTGCCCTGCCTACCAAGCCCTGAAAAAAAAAATGAAATCCAAACCCTCCCAGACGACTGCAGTCCGTTCATAATCTCAGATCATGTTGGGCTTCATGAACTGAGTATTTTTGAGCAACTGAATCAGGTACATCTTCCAGCAGTTCATCTGGACGCTAGTTCTGTTGCGGTCCCTGTGCCGGACCCACCCACTAGTGAGGAACCTCCTACTCTGGCTAAGGTGAGGGTGGTAATCTCCAAGCTGAAGGATGGGAAGGCTGTGGGCATATATGATATCCTTACTGAACTTCTAACCTATGACACGGGGCTTGCATAATGTCCTGGCTGCCAACTGACAGTCCAATTTTATTCCCTTGTCCCTTTTGAGGGGCATGGTCATCCCTTTCTGGAAGAAGAAAGGGATCGCTGGGACTAGACATGAACCGTGGCATCACAGGCAAGGATTTCGCCTACATTCCTCTGAAACGTACCAACCACCCACTAAGTCACCAAAGACCGGTGTAATCCGGATTCACTCCTGGCAAGACCACAATAGACAACATGAATCCTGGCACTTCGTGTCATTGCAGAGCGCCGTCGTGAGTTCAGCCGTGAGCTGCTTACAGCCTACATCGACCTCAAGAAGGCTTGGAGCATCGCAAAACGCTATGGGAGATCCTAAGACTTTGGGAAATTCCGATACGGATTATTGGATTAATAGGTAGCCTATAACTGGAACTGAGAATGTTGGCAAGTGTGGTGAGGGCCTATCAAGCTTCTTCACTGTTAACTCAAGAGTGAGGCAAGTCTGTGTCCTTGCACCTATATTTTTCAACACTTACAAAGGCTGGATAATGAGCAGTTACAATTCAAATATATATGTATGTGTGCATACATATACATACATACACTACACGCACACACGCATGCACACACGCACGCACACGCACACACACATGGTTATTTATGTATAATTTATATTGGTTAATGGCTGAAAAGATAAACTGAGCTAGGTATCAAAGGTCATATAGGCTAGCACTATGGTAAACTATTATGCAAAAAGGGATAAAGGACAAATATTATAGTGTCAAAGATTATAGTGTTATAGGATAGTGTGATAGGGAAAAGGGTAAAGAAGGAGGGTATGGAGCAATCGGATGAAATGGAGTATATCTGTTGCTGGGGAAGCTAAAGGAACGTTGATTAGGAAAAACTGGTAAAAGAGCTATTGATATAATCAGCGGGTAATACAGGTAGAGATGGCTGCTGGAGAAGTAGGAGAAGAATCTGTGGGATGAGACAAGGGGACTGCAGGAGGAGGTGAAGTATCAGAAAGGGCGTCAGGAGGAGAGGAATCCGGAGGATACTTTTGCGACAAAAGGGATTCACGTGAGTATCCAGATGGGAGAGGTAATGATAATGGAGAACGAAACGGAATGGTGTACATGGAGGAGAGGATTGGGTATGTTGGGAAAGAGTTGGAGGAAGAGGGGTAGGGAGGATTTGAGGGGGAGGAGGATGGATATCGGCAAATACTTTGACTGTATAGGGAATAGGAAAAGTGGGATTAGAGGGTGGACGAGGGAGTGGAATATTTTCTTGGGTCATGTCTAGGAATTTTTTAATGTTTTCAAGAGATTCTGGAGGGGATTTGGGTGGGGAGGTTTGAGAAACAAAGGATCTCTTGTGAGGAGAAGAAGAGCGGATAGATGCCAGAGGATGGTAGTAATTATGTTAATCCTTTTATAATATTGGAGTATATATTTCACGCAATTGTCACAATCATAACCTGGTTATGTATTTGTTATTATTCATACTCACATATATTGTTATTGACATGTATAGATATTATCTATATATTAAGGCAAGATCAAGCACAGATTTTAAGGGGATTGTGAGAGGCTAGTAAAACTACCCCATTCAGCATTAATTGTGTATAAGGCCAAGCGAGAAGCTAGTCGCTCTTGCGCTCACTCAGTTATTGCCTCATGAATCTGTGCCAATGTAAATATTGAACTTTAGCATTATCATATTATTAAAGTGGTGGAAAATATATGTTTCGTTATCCATTCCACTACGAGTGTTTATTCCAGGTGTATTGATAAATTCTATAAACAGAACGAAGTCTAAAGTAGAGACAGAAGGAAAGTATTACTAACATGATAAAGTACTATCAAGAAGTAACTTTTCATCTTAATTAACTAAGTAATTATGAAGTTTTAAGGAAATAGTGGAGCAGTGACATGACTGACAAAAGCTTTTCATCCTTTCAACACAGCTCTCATACCTTAGGAATGGGACAGAAGAAGGGGAATAGGAAGAAAAGACCATGCAAAACTTGTTGAGATGAGGGCTGAGCCTAAAGTAGGAGTGATCCCATACATATGGCTTCAGTTTCTGTCTTCTAAGCCCCCCCACCCCCACCTGCATCCCAACAACACTGAGCAACAGGTTGGGGGGAGTTCCTTAAAAAAAAAAAAAAAATCTAAATTACCTACATCTTCAGTACAAACAAACACCTAAAGAGGTAATGTTACTGCTAAAAGGTTCTTTAAAAAATCAAATAAATAATTATTTCTTATTTATTAATGCCTATAAGACACAGTGGTGATGCTGATATCACTTATATATCTTATAATATTCTAACATCATTAAATTACATTAGATTGCACAAATGCTTTGATTTATTCACTTAACATGGATAATCTGAGATTTAATAAATGCTTAACTGTCTTTCCATTTTCTAGATCAAGACAGCATAATTACAAAATACACATCATTAATTGGACATTAGCCAGTTTATTTGAAAGATATTTCTCTTTCAAATACATTTTTTGGACTAGCAACATTTTGAAAAAATATCACCTTCAAATAAGATTTTTACATATGGAAAAAGCACCTGAGATTGTAAGATCCATATAATAAAGTCAACACACTTTCTTATCATATTTTCATGATAAAAAATGTTTCTCACAACCATATATAAGAATGCAATTAATGGTATCCACTGATTAATGGAATATTAACACCAATAATACATTCCTAAGAAAAAAAAAAATTGAAAACAGAATTATGACATTAACGGTCTAAAGAAACCTTTAATAAGACAATCATTACACTTCTACTATATGCGTGTACGGCCCATTGGTGTCAGTGCTCAATATCTGCCTGGCACCATAGACTCCACACTTAACGTTCCCACTCGACACAGCTTCAATAGCCGTCCTGACTCCTTGGCACAGCCGATGGTACAGTGCTTCACCAAGTGTCTTGTCCACATTCATGTGATACTGCATGGCTTTGCCTTTAAGTTTACCTCCAAGTGTGGCCTGGGGAATGATGAGGATGTCACCCTGGACATCACAGATGGATACTCTGCGTCTTGAGTCATCCTCACACAATCTGATGTTGGTGATGTGCTTGGTCAGCTTCTCCACTGTCTCTTCTGAGGCTTTGTCCAAGAAGCACACAAACACTACCATCCCACGGCCAATCTGCATCCCAGCATTAATGGTCAATTAATCCACTGAGACAATGAAAATGTTATGACATAAAAAGAATATATTATGGAGAAAAAACAGAGATAATCCCAATAAGCAACAATCAAACTGAAGACAGAGCACTGGGGAGGGTCTTACATCAACGAGCTCTGGGTCCTTTCCACTGGCTCCTGGGAGTTTGAGAGATGCACTTAAGCACTGCTGAATCACTAAACGTCCCGTCACTTCACTCATGATTAGTGTACTGTAGCTCTCTAGAAGTTAGAGAAAAAGAAAGGTCACTGGTTTGATACCAAACACTAGAAAACATAATAATGCACAAAAAAATATATTTTTGAAAATTGGTGTTTATTAAGTATATAGCTTTAAGAATTGTCATTTTACAGAATAAAATTTTAAGAATAATTATTTTATGGAATTGAAACATTAATGAAGTGCAAACCACTTTTCATTTATGGTATTTAAATCCCAAACTGGAGATAGCCTAAAGACGTTATTTATTACAGAAATATAATACTTGTACCAGTTTTTTATGCATCACAAATAAACTGCCAACTGATGCATTTTTGTTTTTGCTGATATACATTTGTTTGTAAAAAGAGCCATTTATCAGAAAAAATTCACACAGCTAATAACCAATGAAACCTACCTTTTTCTTAGGACCCACTCAAAAGCACAAATAGTTTCATGTTGCTTATACAAGAGGCAGTTCTCCAAGCTAGGTGTAGTATCATTTTATATAATTTAAAATGAATACACTGCTACAAAAGAACTTAAATGAAATATGACACTCTGAATACTTCAAGGGTTCCTCATCAGATATAGCAGGGGTTCCAAACCAGGGGGCTTTATGGGGAGGCCATAGAGCAATCAGAAAATTTTAATGCCAAATTAAATTGGATTTTCTCTCACCTACATATAATTATCAATTATGAATTTTCTCACACAAACATATAATCATACCTACATATAATTATCCCTCACATATCATTGAACTGGAATCTTTCCATAGTGTTCTCGTCCTATAGCTATTTACACCACTACACTATTCATAACAACAACTGAATCCAAAAAGGTACCAGTAACTGAATAAGCCATAAAGATTATATACTGGTCAGATACCTCAAAATTTAAAAGGATTGGAACCAATGCGCTATAGCAAAAATGAATAGTTTTTTATTCAAGTTGTAGCAGTTTTCATTTTAACCCATTAACAACAGCTTTAAAAAATGTGTCCAATGGCCATTAATGTGGGATTGCTGGCATGTATCAACGGTTTCCCCTATTTACACCTGGCTCATTGGGTAGTTTGTGAACAACAACAGGCACCTATAAGTTTATATTTCGATATCATTAAAAAATAATAATAATAAATGAGAAGGTTTACCTTCAAATTAGGTGGTATTGCCCAAAGTTTCCCAATAGAAATGATGCCACTACAATCAGAGAAAAAAAAGCTCCATCCAATGAGCTGACTGCGCAGAAATGGTTATGATGAGCTGTCACCCACTAATTGGTCCACAACAGCCATGGCATGTACATACATGTCAGCTGGCACCATAGTGTTAAGTGTACATACACAGTACTGTGTTTGTGTTTTTTTATTACATACTGCATATATACAGGTGGAACTATTTGAAACCATAATAAAACCACATATTTTATATTCATGTTTTACATGAATTAGATGCCTCTTACATATTTGATTTCTGTCCCCCCATCCCCACCAAAAACCTTGTATGGTGGGGTTGCTAACACCAAAGTTAAAAGATTTGCAGTGGAAATTTACAACAGAGCCATTCTAATTACACCTGTGTATAAGAAAGTATGAGCTTGTCTGTGAAGGTCATGTTTGCTATACCAAAAATTTACCAAGATAATATCCCAGCTCTGACAATAAACAATAGTACACCGCAGATAACTTATCACATGAATATTACTTAACTACAGAATCAAAAGTTGGCTCATGGCCAGTAATACCAGTTTGTTGGCATGCACTGGCACTTTGGTACTTTCAATATATTCAAATATACTTCAAATAAGTATTCAGCACCTAATAGTTTGTAGCTGTATCTTATAAATAAAAGTTTGAAAAAAATGAAGGTTCCACTCACTTAATTGCTTGTACCTAATAGTGACATCAAACAAATGAAATGCTACTATTGGAAAACAACAAGCCACACACTCATTCCAGAGAGAGAGAGAGAGAGAGAGAGAGAGAGAGAGTGAGTGAGTGAGTGAGTGAGTGAGTGAGTGAGTGAGTGAGTGAGTGAGTGAGTGAGTGAGTGAGTGAGTGAGTGAGTGAGTGAGTGAGTGAGTGAGTGAGTGAGTGAGTGAGTGAGTGAGTGAGTGAGTGTGTGTGTGTGTGTGTGTGTGTGTGTGTGTGTGTGTGTGTGTGTGTGTGTGTGTGTGTGTGTGTGTGTGTGTGTGGATATTTCATCAGTACCTGCAGTCATCTGCACTGTTGAACCACTTACACAAAAAGGTAACACCTGACAAGGAGTCACTGGTCTGCAATCTGAAATACGACGGCAGGCAATGCAATAATAGTTGACCACTTTCAAAACATCTGAAGTAACAGTAAATACCCATATACAGTATTTATCCATAAATTGTATACCAGCCTAGTGTTCCAGCAGTTCCCATTTTTTCGTCACAAGCAATTAGCACGAAGTATCATGTACTATACGTTAACATGCCTATTAACGAATGTAACAACTCTATCTTAGAGAAAAAAAAAAAATACTAACTATGCGTAATTATCGAAAACCAGGTCGTTCGTCTACCGATGCAATTCAAACGTGATTTTGTTTACAAACACAGACAGGGTTTCTCACAGCGTTCGAGTCCAAATAAAAATCGAATAAATTAAAGATATAAATAAAAGAACGTATGATTTAATACAAATTTACTTCAAGCATATATGTTTTCAAGCAAAAAACTTAAGGGATACAATATCGTATCGTAAACGCAATACATATACATGTGCATATGTCTCAATCATTCTATCGACCTACACACATGTATGTATGTATACACACACACGTGTGTGTTTGTGCGTGTGCGTGTGCGTAGGCGTGTGAGTGTGCGTGCGCGTGCTTGCATTTGTGCGTTTCTGTCTATAAATCTATCTATATCTATATATATGAATGTATAAGTATATGTATTTATATATATATGTATATACATTTATATGAATAAATAAATGTATATATATATATACATATGTACACATATATGTGTATGCACACACACACACACACACACACACACACACACACACACACACACACACACACACACACACACACACACACACACACACACACACACACACACACACACACACAAACACGTGTGTGTGTATGATTTATATCTATATATATATATATATATATATATATATATATATATATATATATATATATATATAATAAGTAAGTATTGGCAGCAACATAGAATGATTTTTTCTTTTCTTCTTTCATACCATCTCTTCTCCTCATTTCCTTCTTTTCATCATCTCATTACTATATGGTTTGTTATTCTCCTCCTCCTCCTTCCCTTCTTCCTTTTCCTCCTCCTTTTCTTCCTTTTCTTCTTCTTCCTCCTTCTCTTCATCTTCCTTTTCCTCTTCCTCTTCTTAATCTTCTTCCTATTCTTTTTTCTCCTTCTCCTCCCTTATTATTATTATTATTATCATTATCATTATCATTATCATTATCATTATCATTATCATTATTATTATTATTATTATTATTATTATTATTATTATTATTATTATTATTGTTCCTCCTCCTCCTCCTTCTGCTGTTTTGATTATCTTTTCTCTTCTACTGTTTTATCCTCTTCGCCATGATCTTTTTTCTCTTTTTTAAGCTCAAGTGAGACTATCTAAAATGATAAGAGAATTATTACTACATATTTTCTATTATTCGATTTTCATACCTCACTTGCTTATGCATCTCAACAGACTATATAATGTTAGAAATGGAAATTATTTCCGAAGCTTCGATATGTCAAAGTTTCTTTATTTGGGGAAAGAGATACTAAATTGTGGTTGTTCGCAGTAGACAAAGCAAGTACCTTTTCACTAATTATGTGTCTTGAAATATAATATAACTTCTATAAGAATGTCCATTATAGAAAGTTATGGTATGAAAGATGAAACTTGTTTCTTGTTACTTAGGAGAATAACCAACATAAAAAGAAAGGAGTGAGACTATATACACAAAACTATAATTCAAATATCAAAAAAAGTAACCAGGCACGTGACCCAAATTTAGGTCAGTACTCTCGTCTTTGTCCTGGTTAACCGCGTTGGAATACTGTCAAGAAATACTGTCAAGGACTTCATCATTCGTTGTCTTTTGTGTGGAATATTATGCTGTTGTGTTAAGCGCACTCTCAGGAATCAACCGAAATTCGTTGACAGTTCTTATTCAAAGGGTTAAGCTCGACCCACAGAGCGATGAAGCAATGATAAAAGGTCTAACAGGCACGTGAAGCAGGAACAAGTCGTCAGTAGCTGCCCGTTAGGATCGCCTTAACTAGCCTGCGGCCGAGAGGAGGCGCACAGTCTTGTTTTCTCTTCTTTGTAGTGGCAGGCTTCGATGTGACACATATCATAATGGACAGCGTTGCCATTATCCTTATGATCACAGACTCTCTCTCTCTCTCTCTCTCTCTCTCTCTCTCTCTCTCTCCTCTCTCTCTCTCTCTCTCTCTCTCTCTCTCTCTCTCTCTCTCTCTCTCTCTCTCTCTCTCCTCTCTCTCTCTCTTCGGGGTTAACAGTGATATTATCGTTATTCATTATTATTATTATCATCACTATCATTTTGGTATCATTATCATTACTATTTATATGAGCACTCATTATTGTTGTTGGTGTTGTTATTATTATTATTGATATCATTAGTATCATTGCCGTTGTTGTTGTTATCATTATTATTATCTCCGCCAAGGAGATTATGTTTTTGGTAGTATTGATTAGTTGGTTGTAAGATAACTCAATAAGTTATGAACAGATTTTTATTGAAATTTTACTAGAAGTGTATCAGTCCAATTTAGATGCCATTAAATTTTGATGGTGATTCGGATCATGATCTAGATCCAGGAATTTTCCAAATGATTGCATCTGTTACCCCTACCTTTAGGGGGTAACTGTTATTATTATTATTACCTCCGCCAAGGGGGTAATAAAAGTAATATTTACTGACATCACCCATGTACTTAAGAAAGGTGATTTTACCGAAATTCTACGCGCTGATATTCTCCTTGCACCAGTGACCCTATTGCCTTGCCGTGCGTATGCGCTCAGTGCTTCTAGTTATTATTATTATTATTATTATTATTATTATTATTATTATTATTATTATTATTGTTGTTGTTGTTGTTGTTGTTGTTGTTGTTTTGTTTATTGTTACTAGTATTGTTATTAACATTATTGTTAATATTATTATTACGATTTTATATTATTATTATCATTATTATTATTATTATTATATTATTATTATTATTATTATTATTATTATTATTATTATTGCTATTATCAGTTTTATCACCATTATCATTGTCTTGTTATTATCATTATTGTTGTTATCGTTATCATCGTTATTATCTTCATTATTATTGTTGTTGGTGGTGGCCTTCTTGTTATCGTTATCATAATTTTATTATTATTATTATTATTATTATTATTATTATTATTATTATTATTATTATTATTGCTATTTCATTATGGTTGTTGTAGTTATAATTATTATTATTATTATCATCATAACCGTTATCATGATCTTCATTAACATCAATAGTATTATCATTGCCATTATTTTAAATTCTTTTTATTTTTCAAGGTTACAAATTAAATGATGTATGAATGTGATTATATGTGTTATTTGATATAATCATCATACTCTTATGTAAATGTTGTGTAAACATCGAATAACTGTTATGTAAATTAATGTTATGTAAATGTAAATGTAGATATTGAATTCAAACACTCATTTCTCAGTATTAGGTTTTATAAGTTCTTTTCTATATACACGGACAGGGTAGAGGAAATGAGATTTTGTTACAGGTGAGCGGGTGACGGTAAATGTGTCAAGGAGACTTTTTATTTATTTATTTATTTGTCATCCATAGCCTGGGGGTTGTAAAGGTGACTCATGAGTCTTGGTAGTGAAGATGCAATATTGTAAAAGGTTTTTCCATATATCCGTGTGCGTCTATGTTGTATGCATCATCGTATAGTTATTGTGCATTAAAAGAACTACGTTTCTGATTTTATGTTGTATTTAATCATGTTTTCGAAATGTAGAGTTTGGATAGCTTTTACGACAAACTTTCTGCAGGAGCAAAACATTACTCTCAGTCTGTGATTAGTGGTTATTGTGTACGACTATGAAAAACGTCTCACACGCACACCTGTGATTTTAAGATTGTCTGAAATTGGTCTTTTTCTTAAACTTAGTTTTTTCTTTTCTTTTCTTTTCAAACGCTTCAAGATGTCGGTGTTTACGTGGAGAAAAAATACCGTTAGTTTTCACTCTTTTTGTGTAACTGTACACGCATACAAGGACGTACGGTGTTTTTGTTTGTTTGTTTGTTTGTTTTTGTATATGTACATGTATATACACACGTGTGTAATCGTGTGTATGTATTAATGTATGTACAGTTACACAAAAAGAGTGAAAACTAGCGGATATAGGTGTTTCTTTGTTTGAATTTGTTTGTTTGTTTTTTGTATATGTAACGATGTTATATTACAGCACGCAGTGATGGCGTCAATCAGATTGTGTATGTTGATGTGAATGTGTAAGCTGTGATTTGATATGAGTGTATGTAGGCGGTTTACGTAACAAGAGTAGACAACTAGGCTGGGCTGTGGACGTAATAAATACGCAGATGAATATTATAGCGGAGTATACATGAGAGCGTAGATTAGTGAATATCATAAGGTGATAGAACATTGAATTAGAAATGGTGATGCTGAATTAGCAGAGCTGCAGGATAGGTGGAGTCATGAGATCTGCTGGAACACTACGCCAAGAAGTATTATATATGAGTGTTTGAATCTATCATATCTATAGTATTTGACATCATTATATATAGTACTGATCTAAAATCCTTTTTTAATATTGATATATCTGATCCTTAGTCACTATTTATTAGATATATATATATATTTAATATTAAGTATTAATTAACAAAAAACATCATGATAAACGCATGTATTTATATGTGATTGAACTAGGCTTGATAGTGATTATGGTATCGTAGATATAACTATGAGAGATATACAGATTATATTATGATATATAAAGTATAGTATCAATGTAAGCATAATATTATAATATATATTATTAATTCTTACTTGTACTTTAATTATAGTCGGGAATCTATATGCTTGGAATCATATTAATATCCTATCGAGTGTTACTATATTTATATTTATCTAATATTAATATAATTTGATCTTATGTTTATATCGGTACTTTATGCCATAATATACTATACTATAGGTTTATTGTCTATATTATTCTGACCATATATAATTGTTCATAAATAATCATTTAGATAATAGTTCTATATGAATATACTAGACATCCGACTTGCATATATCACTATAACGCACATGATAGCTCAGAGCAGCAAGTAGTATTGGGTGTATATATTATCAGCTGTTATTAGTATTACTTAAATATGTTATACACTATACTCACTTCTATATACCGTAATAATATACTTTGATATATTGATATAGCACTATACATATGAACATAGACGAGATGGGTGTAAAGATATTGATGAAG